TACAGAGAGGGCACCCCTAAATTTTGCCTGGCTAGCAGGATAGTTTTAAAAGATTGATTCAGCATTTATAATTTGTGAGGGCCCAGATTTTTGGCTTCTCTTGGAAAGTCTGGACTATTTGACAGCATTGGACCCAGAGCGGCAATTAGCTAGACGTGTGTAGCAGCTGTACTGTTCCAATGGGGCACCTGCTCTCCAGCTTGATCATCTCCACCACTTACATTAGGGTGACCATGTAACTTGTCCAAACTAGGGCACATGTGAGAATAAGGGGGAGGAGTGTCATTAGTAATTGTACCAGGACTACAGGCCTAAATCAGTATCGTTATGGCAGATATATATACGAGGACCCAATCACATTGCTCACCCTGGGCTTCCTTCATTCTTCTTTGCCCACTGTTATTTGGGATTTGTGGTCATAAACTTGGGAATCAAATGAGGAAAAAGAGAGTGAATGTGTACATTAAGGAAAAGACATGAAGGTTGAAACAAAAGATATTAAAAGATATATATATATATATATATTGGGGGGGTACCAGGGATCAAACTTAGGTGCTTGCACTCAGGAGGCAGGCAGCAGAACCACTGAGCTAAAGCCCCGGCTCTAAAAGATATATTAATGAATTCCAATTACAACGAACCTGTAGGTAAAGGCAGAGCCTTGCTGAAGGCTGGCTCAGCATATGAGTTTGACCTTCCAGGCTTCCTGCCTTACACAGTACTGTCAGTTTTAATAAGCTGTAAGCCCATAACTACAAGCAAGACTAATCAAACTGCAGAGAGGAGCCTGCTCCTAATCAGAAAGGCACAGGATAACCATTTAACTCTTGTGGTTTCTCAGTTAGCTGCCCCTGAAGAAAAAAAAAAAAATTAAAAATCCTTGATAAGATAGGTGCTTCACACTCTAGGCTTGACCCTTTGGTGGTTTTTGTTTGAAATTTTTATTAAAATGTTTAATTATTCAACTATTTGATTTTAAAAGATATTTTCCCTTTATTTCAAAGAATAATTAAATATCCCTCTCCAGAGATATGTAAGAAACCACAGATTTCTATTGATTTCTGAGGTTTTTTTTTGTACTACTCAAAATCTCCAAACCCTTTCAACACTATTGAGGGTATGGTTAGTCCCCAGCTGGGATATGGAGGGGGGATTAGAGGTCATGGCCTGACAACCAATGGTGAGCATCAACAGGTGCCAACCTTGAACTGCGGACTGTGTGAGCCAGTGCCAGCTCCGCCCCCCAATGGTAACCCTGTGACTGTTAATCGTGATACGTCAACTTGACTTGAACAAGATCCTCTTAGATTAGTAATGCTCTAGGCATTTCTGTGGATAACTAACATGTAGGCCAGCAAAACTGAAGGAGAAATACCTACTGTGGATGTGGCTGATACCAACCAGGTTGGTTCTAGACAGATTAAAAAAGGGAAATAAGAAAATGTACCCTGGATTTTGGGGGGAAGATCATCAAACTTCACTGTCGCCTTTGGACATTGGTCTGCAGTTTCTTTAGCCTTCCAGTACAGACTCTCACACGTGACTCCACCGAGTCTACTGTGCCTTTGATCTTCAGCTGCTACTGGGTTCTCTGGCTCTCCCCCAAACAAACATACATTTTTGATTCTTCCACTTCTGATCCTATAAGCCTACCTTATAAAATTCCTTTGTATAATTATTCATATATTTTGTATTGATTCTGTTCCAACACCTTCTAGTCCATCCTTGATTCTCTCTGCCCCTTCAATCCAGAAGAAAGTCAAAGTAAGTAAAAATATACTTAGTGTAATAGCTAACTGTTGAGTTTTACTCAGATGGAGCCAGAGTTTGACTTAGGAGCTGAGAAGATATAGATAGGCCCATAGATAGAAAAGGCTTTTCTAAAATTTTTGGTACACCTTCAGGGAGGCTAACTCAGCCTTCCTGAAACTCATTTTTTTTTTTTTTTTGGTACCGAGGATTGAACTCGGGTCCTTGTGCTTGCAAGGCAGGTGGTGGAACCATGGCCCATGAAACTCATTCTTAACACAGGAATAACAGTATTCACACTTCACAGCCATGCTCTAAGAGTCTAATGAGATATGTATGGAAAGCATTTACTAAGTTTCAATATTAAAATGCTTCAGAAGTTATAGACAATATTTTTATTATATACCAGAATGTCTTATAGACATACTTATATGACAAGGAGCTAGGCAAGGGAATCTTCATAATGTATATCACTGAGTAACAGCTTCATTTTGGATTCTGCATGTAGTGTAAAAGTTCTTAAAACAATGACTACAGATGGAAAAAGTATTTTAAAACGTTTTCTTGCAATAAGAAATCTCTAGGACATTCTTGGTACCATGGAAATTTAGTATTTTGTTTAATAGACTAACATTTACAGAAATTACACAGTGATTTTTTAAAATCAAAACTGTTTTTTGGCTATTACCTTTAATAGATTTATTGCATTAAAGAAACATCTTTCAAATGTGCTAATAAGAAAAAGAATCAGGAAAATGAAAAACATTGAACAGAATTTTCAGTGTCTTGGACATAAATAAAACTCATAAATTTTTTATGGATTCTGGAGTATATACTGATACTTCTTTAACAATGAGTTTTGGCATTGAACAAGAATATGAACTCATGAACAAGTAAAAAAACAATACAGTTTAAGACAACCAGATCCTTGAGAACAGACACTCTGGCTTCCATAAGTATCCACTGTCATTCATGCCAAAGTTATATTACTAAAGAAAGAAACATAGATAGGCTCCCAACACATAAATATACAATAGCCATACAGGAACTACAAAAAATGTTCACTAATGCCCACTAAATTTTGAAAAACAATAAAATATAACAGTGAGTGGAAAACAAATGTATTTTTTACCCATACAAAAAAGGGGCATCATTTTGGTTTCATTATTTTTATAAAAATTATGTGTGCCTGTTTATGTATATTCCTTACTTAAGTTGACAAATACAAAATACGTACAAAGAAAATAAAAATTCCCTGTTTGTCATACTATCAACAAAAATGTCACTTTTGATAACACCTGAGCAAAATCATATGATCAAGGATGACTCTAGCCTCAGGATTTTTTTAACCACTTCAAAACTCACAGGCTGGAGTTCTTTTTAAGTTCTCAAATATATTTATTATGTTACTTGCCTCCTGGTACTGGTGAGCTTTTTAATAAGGCCAATGATGATTAATAAACAAGGATGATGACTGTGGCTAAGACTCTAATCTAAAGCTTTTTGTTCCTCAAATTTTAAAGTCAGCAGAATCTTGGAAGTTTATTTAGTCCTATTGCTCTGCCTGCCCTGACTTAATCATAAGGAAGGAATGGAGAGGTTAAGCACTGCATCCACGAGTCACAACTGAGCACAGAAAATGATCATCTAATTGCCCAGCTTGAGGGCTCATCCAAGTGAACACATGTGGAGAATGAATCTCCGCAAGACATAGGGCTACAGTTATTACAATCTAAGATTATTTATGACCCCGGAGGGCAGACCACAGTGGATTTGTGCAACTAGGTAACAGTAGCTGTGCAACCACTGGGCTCCTAACTGATAAGTACGCTGGCCTTAGGAACACAAGTCACAAGCAGACCAAGTGGCCAAAGGAAAGCATGACCTGAGCCTCGTGTTCAAAGGAGTGCTGTGTGAGGCCCACAAAGGAAGACACAAGTGTGATGAAATCACACGAGCCCTTTTTGAGTGACTACACTACCAGGGCACTTGGAAGACAAAAGCGGCCAAGAGAGGGCTGTGAGAGTATGACAGTCAAAATAAAGAAAACCATCAAATAAGCCAGATTCTTCCTCCAGTTAACAGCTTGTGTCCACAGAGGTTACGCTACTTAGGAAGTCATCACCCCACAGGTCCCAGTTTATTTTTCAGTGGTCCCTACAATCTCATCTTCCCTTTTAAGAATGTCTCCTCCCATCTAGTCTTCAGGTGAATTTCTATCAACTACAGTGGACCCTCGAGTTACGGCCAGCCTGACATATGAACAACTTGGGTTATGCTCAGAATTTTAGTTTTATCTTACAAAGTCTTGAGTTATGACCCAAATGCTAGCCACTTGTGCTTCCAGATGGTCTCAGATATAGATCCAACCCTTAAAGACTTCTGGAAGGAACATTACAACATCCTTGGCTGTGTGGGATTAACTAAAAAATACCAGGCCAATACCTTTCTCAGGATACTGAGATCTGCCTGTACATAGGAGGGAGACTTTGAACTATGTAGAGGAGCCTGAGCCTTCAACTGACCAACATGAGTTACGAATAAACTGAGTTTGTAAGTCAAGGGTCTACTGTAATTAGAATTAGCCTAGACATTTTAAAGATCATGGTTCAACCCTTTCTTATCAATCTATGCCACTTAAGCCTTTTCTGCCACTTAAGCCTTTTCTTCTATTTTTTTATGTGATACTAAAGATTGAACCCAAAGACTTGTACATTCTAGGCAAGGACTCTACCACTGAGCTACATCACCAGCCCTTTTTACTTTTGGCGGTGGGAGGAGTGGGCTTTACCAGAAATTGAACTCAGGACCTTGCAATAGTCAGGTAGGTGCGGGGCCACTGAGCTAAATCCTCAGTCCTCCTTTTTACTTTGGGACAGACTCTCACTAAAGTGCCCAGGCAGGCCTTCAACTTACAATCCTGTCTCTGTCTCCTAAATATTGGAATTACAGGTATATCACCAAATTTGAAAGGCCATTTAAGTCTTTAGAAGACATCTCTTCACTATCATGTGGGCAGTTTGAAAGAATCATTCTTTATTTTACTCATATTTTTCAGATATTCTGTAATTTAGCAGAATTTTACCCTTAAATATAAATGCTTAAAGCTAAAATCATTCCAGGCATGGTGGCACGTGCCTGTAATCCCAGTACTTAAGAGGCTGAGGCAGGAGGATTACTGTGAATTCAAAGCCAGCTTGCACTACATAGTTCAAGACCAGCCTGAACTACACAGAGACTCTATCTAAAAACAAAACAAAATAAAACAACAACAACAAAAACCCAGAGAACAAAACAAAAAAATAAAGCTAAGATCATTTCTTCTTCACTTCTTCCCGTGTTATAACCATGGTACAAGCTCAATGCAGAGTCAGATTTGTATTTGCCAGTTCTCCAGATGCTTGCCTATGAATGAGCTCTTTCAACTGTGCCAGTCTGTCACATTTTAGTGCTTCCCGGATGGAGTGAAAAAATCCAAAGTAGTGTTCAAAGTTGTGCATCATAAGCAGTACCCTGGCCAGCAGCTCATTGGTCACCAGCAGATGGTGGATGTATGCACGAGTGTGATTCTTACAGCAGTAGGTACCCTGGCCAGCAGCTCATTGGTCACCAGCAGATGGTGGATGTATGCACGAGTGTGATTCTTACAGCAGTAACAGGAACACTCTTTCACCAAGGGGCTAAAGTCCTCCCGGTACCTGAGGAAGGAGGTCACAGTGACATTTCAGAAAGTGACGAACATAAGAAATCCACACACTAGGCTTCTGGTGAGGTTACCAATGCTTAATAACGTCACTGGTAAATTTCCAGTGTTGGTACCTGCTTAAGATGGCAATGTGGCTAAAAGTCAATAAAGAACACAATGAAATCGGAAAGACTTTGGAGTCCTCCTCTGACATGTAACCTCTAAGGCGGGGAGTAAAGAAATTTGCACTGTCACTCACTCATATTGAGCATTACTTGTCATACTATAAAGGCAAATAATGTTCAGAAATGCTGTTCTGACGCTTCTCATCCATCTGCTACAAAGCACCTTCACATATACAATCTTGTTTCACCTCTGCACCTACTCTTGGAATTGGCTGTTTTTATTATCATTTTACAGATGAAGACCATGGGGGTTTAGATTTTAGAGGAAGGCTCTGGGGCTTGCCTGCCAGGGTTTGAGTGCTGGCTCCATAACTCCCTTGGGCAGGTCATTTATCATCTATCTACCTGCACCTTTGTTAACCATGAGCCAAGGGTATTAAGAGCCTACCTCACAGAGCTGTGGCAGGAATTAAATGAGTAAGTACAGCAAGAGGGCTTGAATGCAGCGGGGAACATCATAAGTACTTAACATAGGTGTCACCTTTTCCCAGGTATTAAAGAGAAATTAAATGACTTGACCAACACCACCCAGGCAAGAGCAATGCCAGAATTTATCTCCAAGTCCCCAAAACTTCAAGCTGAGCACTGGTAATAAGCACAATACAATTTCCAATAAAATCTACAATGTAAAGGGAATTTTAGCAGTAACCATTTATATTATGCTGACATTTTAAAAACAGAAGCGAATCTTGTTGGTTATTTTTCAAGAAGTTAAATGAAGTAGATTTTACCTTTCCAGACAATCAAGATGTCCCAAAAGAATATAAATAAGAACTTGGATTTTCTTTCTTTCATAAATTCTAAAGTCTATATTATTGTTAAAAAAAAAATATTAGAATCCCTAGAATGTCCCTTCAGAGAAACCAATAAACAACCTAGAACTAAAGCAAGCACAATAAATTCACAGAAAAACTACTCACTGTTAGTAGTGATTACCACTTCTGGCCAAATGCAAAATTACAAAATACCTTAGTTCATTCTTTATTATGGCAAATACTTTAGTTAAGATTTATAAACGGTATATAACAAAGATGATATAAATTCCTTAAAATTTACAAATTATTATGGCAATTCTTATTTCACCCTGTCCTTAAAGTAATCAAGAGGAGTAAAAGGCACTAGACGATGGATCTGGTCTCATCTTTCCGACAGCTTCTCTAAAGCAATGGTTATCTAGCCTCAATTTTCTGACAAGGTACACAAACTCATCTGCAGAACAAAAGCTTTTCTGGAACAAAATTTGAGAAGGCCTAAGTGATATCCAACTATAAATATTTTATGAAGTCATAAACTGAAAAGAGAACACAAACTTTTAAAACAGTCTAAAATTTAAAAAGTTAGAAATCAAAATCCAAGCTTTAAAAAGTCTTACTTTTTTTCCTTCAGATTAATTTCAAATGATGTCATTTTTTGGCTGCAACCAGTTGTTTTAATTTTCTTTACTTGATCTTCATATTTTATTTCTTCTTGTATCCCATTTTGTTGTAATACTGGAGAAACAAATAAAAAATCTTGAATGAAGATGAGATAAGGAGTAGCCATTGGAAGAATTTTAGTTATTATTTCATGCCCTTTGACTCTACAATTCTGCTCTTGAAAGTTTATCCTAAGAAAATCACAAGAAAATAAAAATAGTAATACGCTTCCAGATAGACACAGATTTATTATTTCCAACATCAAAATGATTTAAGATAATCATCAATGTCTAAACAAATTATGGTTACAAGTATCTTAACATATAATCTCAGTATCAAGGAGTGATTTTTAAAATCGTATGTATGTCTGTATCTTTGTGTGTTGGTGTTGTCCCTATGTCTTATCACAATGTACATACAAATAAACTGGACTTTATAACACCCTACACTCAACAAGTAGACTGAAGCAGAGTATGGCTTTAATTTATGTTTTCTGTATAGAGACTCTCGGCTTCCTGGGAACCCAGATTATCCAGAATTAATTGAGAACTTCAGTTGTTCCCTCGAACTCTTTGCTTGAAGGAAGAACTGCAAAAGAAACACCAGCTCTACAAAAAGCCAGTTGCCTTGAACAAGGGAAGATAGATAAGAGGTATCCTGGGAATGAAAGGTAACAATCTCAAAAATGGTCCAATGAGAAGAGGCAGGTAAATTACCCAAGAAGGGAATTTTATCCAAGTCAAAGAAAGCCTGAACACTGAGCACAAAACTTGCTCCTGTGAGTTTGCACGTTGATGTAGAAAACTAAAAAAAGGCCTGACACTTTGGAAAACTCTTGTCATTTAGTGAAACTGCTGGCAATTTATTTCTTTAGAATTTTAACTATTTAATTGGGGGACTTATTTATAATACATACATATCATACAAATTTGATTAATAATTCTTTGATAAAAACTGAAAAAGCTTTTTTTGAAAAAACTTTTTCAGTTTTCACAATCACGAAGTAAGTTAAGTTTGCTTTAGCCAAAAAGGAACTCGTTCATTCCAGAGAACTCAGTATCAGGTTCTTCTTACAGCTTTGCATATTCATAGTACTGAATGACTAACAGGTGTCCTCGTCCTGGTGGAAATAATTTAGTTTGTAAATGAAGTCATGAAAATGTATAAAGTGTTAATAGTATGCCAATCCACATACATTATGCTCTGGTCTGACTAAAAGGACAGTAAAATTGACCTCCTATGTATAAGAACTCAATCAACCTGACTTCTTTTATTTCCAGAAGTAATCTGATTTAGAATAATGCATTAAGTTGCCTTAAAAAAGGGTGACACCTTCTGAATGAAATTTTTGTCACCTGTGGGGAATAAAACAAACCTTTAAAGAAGTCCAGGGCCCTATTCAGTTTTAAGGTTGGAAGTGGTTGAGGAAGAGCTCAAAGGAACGCAGGAGCAAGAAAGGGAAAGAGCCTTGGTGAGAGGCAGAGGGCAGGCTGAGGTGGCCACACTTTCTACACCGGCTCCAACCGCTGCCCACAGCCTGTGCCCCGGGTCCTTTACTACTGCCAGCTAAGTGTTAGACTCTGAAACACTCCTTTTGCCTTGACTTCTAAACAGCTAAATGACAAAAGAAAATGGGAGCGTTTCAAAGCAATATTAGCAGAGAAAAAGTTTTCACCTCTTGGTGTGTCAAAGAACCCCAACAAGCAAAAGCAACATGAGGGTCAGATGATAGTGAGTCTCCCATAATTTTAATTGCATGGGATTTGCAAAAAGCAAACAAAAAGTGTTCTGTGGAAAAACAAATTAACCTTTATAAAGCAGTTCAAAGGCTATCTTTTGTTAGATTCATCATAATTCACTGTTCTTTCAGGTAGCTAACAGAAAAGGTCTTGTTTCTGCTCACTGCAAAATCACATCTTAATATTGATGAGCTGCATTTATAGTATTAAGTGCCTAGTTTTAGGTGCCAACATGCCAGGGTATACAGATTAAAAAAAAAGATAAAGTTTTATAAAAGCCTGGCTTTATGTGCACACATTTTTGTCTTGTGACTCAGGCCAAAATTAATAGGAAATAGAAGAAACTTAAGGATTAGACAGAGATTAACTTCAAAAGACCTACATGTCTCCTCAGGATTGGGCTGGTAATCAAAGCTGAATGTCAGGGCACATCCCCGCTCTGTCACTAGATAAGGAAAAAAACTCTCAAATAGGTCCACTCCTCTTTCAATACACTCGAGCACTTCATCTGGCCGGCTAACACCACAAATGAGCCTGTAAGGGTAACAATAAAGACCGTGACACGAGGACAATCCCACGAATGAAATCAGAGTCTTTCCAAGGGTCAGGGAATGAAGAGCAATGATAATGAACACCAGCAATCACGGTTAGAGTGGCAAGAAGTGGACAGCAATGTGTGGCAGAAGGAATTTAAGGTGTGAAGAGAGACCAGGGCTTGAATCCCAGCTCTACCATTTAATTGCTGTGTTTGGGGCAAATTTCTTAATATATCTGAGCTTTAGCTTTTTCATTTTAAGTACAAGAGCAATAACACTTCCACAGAATCACTGTGAGGATTAATGAGATACTTTAAAAAGAATATAAAATAGTTTCTAACTTCAGAAAGCTCAGTAATTCTAAGTTTCCTTTCCACTCTCATTCTTTCTGAACAACCTCCCTAGTCTTAGATTGAACTTTATAGTCTATCTGTATATTATAGATTTTTTAATTGTGTACTTTATTTCTCCCTCAAATACTTTCTTCATTTTAACTGTATTTCACCCATAATTATTTTTCATAATTGGTTTTCATAAAGACATTCTGTCTATTATATGCTTCATAGGTTCATTTATAAGCACACCTTGCTCTTAGAATTTTAACTCTGGCCACAGGATCTAAGAATATAGCTGTTTTTTTTCCCCCCTCTTCTGTGTTAATAAAAAGTCTGCACTATGGGATAAAATGTTTTCAAAGGTAATGGGTAAGGCATTCTGGGATTTTTAATAATTCTCAACCAGAATTTGCCACAAACAAGATGCAGGGATCAAGTCTGGCTGCCCAGAACTATTTTTTATGTTTGCTTTTCTACCCATCGTCCTTTTTCATGAACTAAAAGAGAAAAGCCTACATGCTCTCTGATTTCTAAAAGAAATTTAAAAAAAAGACTTAAGTTATATTAAACAAGCAGAACGCTTAAATCTATGCCAGTTTTCCTGACTATAATTTCCTTCAAGTCATGTAATGTTTTAGAACTTCTCTCCAACTGAAGCTGGCATTCCTACACATTCACAGAAAAAACAATCCCGGCTTTCACATTCAGTAACAGACATCTGTGAGCACTTAACATAAAAAAAAGTCCAGAAAATGACTAGAAATCCTAGTGCTGAGTTGTTATCTGTACCAGAATGACACAGGCATAGAAGAGGGAATAATGAACACAAAAGAACCATGCTAAAATTGAGGGGACAAAGGATGTCAGGATGAGAAGAACACCCTGTTCCGGGTCTTCACATAAGTGTATTCATGTGTAAGAGTTCACTGAGCTTTATCGACCACTCAAGCTCTGCAGTGTATGTCACACCTAGCTTTTTAACGAAAGTGATAAAATTACATATGTACTATTCAATAGGCTGTAAGGAGTCTAAAGCAGTACTCCATCATCAAATATATTTACAGGGAAACTATAAATATTACATCAAGTGGGAGGAAAGACTACACTGTTTTTTTAAGTTAAAAAAATCAAATTGTATGAATTTGTCATTAATAACATGTTTAGAAGTTTATATACCCTGAAAATGGCTACATTTAGCTAATTAATACAAGTATTATTTCATATAAATATCTTTTTTAAAAAATGAGAACACTTAACATCCATTCTCTGCATTTTTTAAGAATACAACATATCATCAACTATAGTCCCCAGGCTATACAACAGATCTGTTGAACATATTTCTCCAAACTGTAATGATCTTCTAACCCCCACTTTCTCCCCAATTGCCCCAGGCTATGGCAACCACCATTCTACTCTCTACTTTGGCGAGATCAACTTTTTAAGACTTCATATATAGGGTCTGGGATGTAGCTGAGAGGCACCATGCCTGCCCAGCAATAGCAAGGTTCTGAGTCTCATCCCCAGTACAGAGGGGAAAAAACAAACAAACAAACAAAAAAACCCACTCCATATATGAGTAAGATCATGAAATATTTGTCTTTTCATGCCTGACTTCTTAAACTTAACATAATGACCTTCAGATTCATGGGGGGGGGCTTTAGCTTAGTACGACTCAATTGCATTTAGAAACTCAGAATTTACACCTTGAATCTTCAGATCATCTCTTCTCACCAATACATAATGAATCCTGCAATTTAGGGAAACCTAAGAACCAACCTATCAGTCCCATCAATTTTACTACCTGTCTCAAATCTAAGAACTTCTTTAAGGTTCTTATTTGTAGAATACACCTTCATTCCACTAGGCACCCCAGCCCTGTCCTCATCTTTCCTTGATTTAAACGACAGCAACACATGACTGTACTTGCTCCTAGGTACCATGTTATATAATGAATAAAAAACATATTTATACTTGGTACACTGAGAGGAAATAGCACAACATTTGTCCTCACTTATGAAGAACAAATAAATACACATGGCAATTATCCTCTGCTCTGCATTCTGCATCAGCCTTGATGGAAATTTCCCTCACAGTCTGCTGAGAAGGGACAGAAAGGACACATCAGGACGTTAGAAGGCATATCCACACAAGACAGCACCCTGCCCGAGGCCCCAATATGCCTGGCCTGCATCCCTCAAGGTCAGCCTGCACCCTAACCCGACACTAGCCTCGGTTTGTCCTCGGGCAGCTCTGCAGTGACTAATGACAGCAACTGCAGTCTGGTCTCCAGGGTTGTTGGATTCCCTTGAAAGCCATCCAGAAGGAAGCCGCCAACAGGCCGCTTGGCTGTCTCTCGTGCCGACCTGAGCCGCTCCTCCGTCACATCTCCACCTTCAATTACCCCAATGATCGTGCTTTTCTGAAGGATCTGAGAGAAGAAAAGAAGGACTGAATGCTATTAGTCATTTTCAGTAACTGAGATCTGGGTTCACACAAACCTTACCCAGAAGTCAATGGACAGAAGAAAGCTCAATGAAGCTTCCATAGATGAAACAGGGATGGTACACCACTCATCTCAAAGTGCCCTTAGGGGTCCAGAGAACATGCTGTGAAAAACACCAAGTAGGTGAGAAAAGGTTGAGGAAAAATAGGCAATCAAAATATGCCATCATAGGGCTGGGGTTTTACCTCACACACACACATATGTTCTAGTTCAGGTTAAATGAAACGCACACTGAGGAGGTAAAACTGGAAAAGGACAAAAGGAAGTTCTAATTTGTTCAAAGGACTATTCAGGTCTGCTTCAGGTCTCAGTTACAGACAACTTTAGGAATTTAGAAACGGTTTGGTCCAGCCAGTCATGGACAGGCTAGCAGTCACAGCCTGGATGTGGGGGTGGGGGTTGCTTAAATTCAGGAGTTGAAGACCAGCCTAGGCAACACAGTAAAACCCTATTTTTAAAAAAAGCAGCGGGGGGGGGGG